CCTTTGAATATATTCTCATCTGTCATTCAAAAGATGTAACTTACTAATGTAAGACTAAATTACTTAGGTACGTAATCCCATCACAGCTCAATAAAGCAAATATACAAAGCAATATAAAGAATATATTGAGCTGTGAAGGGATTACGTAAGTACATTATGTCCAACAGCTCAGGGGCTACACACATGGACTTTAATTGTAACCTACTATTCGTATGATTTACATTAATGTGAAATTGAATCGTTAAAGGAAAGGTACTTGGTCGGATGAAAACACAAACAACAAATTTTACGTTAAAACAGAATTCACATAGTAACCGTATCGTGATGCTTTTTCAATCTTCCAGAAGAAACTTCGGTTTTGTTCTATATTTCTACTTTGATCATTCCTCCCTACACTTCATGTCCCACTACTATTACTGTAAGTTTCATCGTCATATTCCATACATGATTGCTCCTGGCGTGCAACAAAGGGTTATAATCGTTGTAGTTACTATGTGCTATTCGTGCCATTCCTTCGAGATTCATCGAGGATTTTCTCAATTCATTCTTTTTGTTTTAAATAACAGCTCATCATTTACCTTGGAAGACCAATTATTCCCAAGGATTTTCCTGTTTCAATTGCGTAATTGATGAGTGATTAAACTGACATCAAAGTGAGAAAAAATATATTTATATCAACTCACTTATCACTTGTTTATACCTATATATTATCGTTTCGTAACATGTAAATGTTTAGTAATTATTAGGCAGATAGCATACATTCAAATACAGTTTTTTACCACGATTATTTGCATTTTTTTACCAACTACAGCATAAAAACAACCCATTTCCTGTTTTATAACTTAGGTCCTAGTAACATGGATTCCAAAAACCTGAGATGAATCCGAACCTTAATTATTTAAAATTTAGGACAGGAAAAGTCATCTATAATTTAAGGTTTTAGAAAGAAATTATTAGAAAATAAATTAACCATAGAAAATTCGGTAATTTTAATAATTTGTCTTTATTGAAGCCGCTTAACTCGTGCTTTGCAACGAGAGGGGCCGCGAAAGGAAAACTTTTGGTTCTTCAAGTCTACCACATGAAAAAGTTAAAAATGTTTCATTGATTTTAGAGACAAAACTCATTTGAAACCGTGTGCACAGCTTTTGTCATATAAAAGTTTTCAACTTTGGTAAGTGGCTCAGCCGATCTCTAATATGCGAATGATTATTTGAATAAGAAAACGCCCTAAACTTAATTTTATGTCAGACTACACGGTCTTAGCCTAAGAAAATTAATCTTTATTTTAAGAAAGACTTTGAACTGTTTTCAGCTTTTTAACTATTTTTCTAAACCTTTTATCTCGGGTGCCCTTAAGCAATAGAAAAAACTCCCAATATAAGAAAGGAAATTTGGAGTCACAAGTCTTTTTGGGGTAGCAGATTTTTATCCCCCTGGAATTTTACCCCCTGGGCAAACGTGACGTCACAAACCAGGGGGTAAAATTCCGGCCGCGAACTTTTGAGTTTCGCGACATCAGCTCGATGGATTAAACGCGGAATTAAACATATATTTTCACGGTTGTGAATTTAATCAGAACACATCAAATTATAAAAACCTAGAGTGTACGGCCCGGATTTTTACCCCCGGATTTTTACCCCCGGAATTTTACCTCGTTACTACGAGGTAAAATTCCGGGTTTACTAACCAACTGGGTTACAACGTCATAGTGACGTCAGCTTTGCCCAGGGGGATAAAATTCCAGCGACCCGTCTTTTTATCTACGTCACAAAACAGCCTCTCCACACATTGTGCTGAACTCTGACAGCTGACGTCATCGGCGATCAAGGTTCTGCTAATTCCAGTCTGAATAACATCACAAATGATTGCAGGCTACACAGGACCGGTCTTTGTGCAGACGTCATAACTATTAGCATTCCAAGGTAATGTGTCGATAATCGCTCAAGGAAATGTTCAACGGACGCACATTATTGCCTGATTGATTCTGATTGATTGATGACTTGGTCCTCTTGAAATTGCAGATGGTTTTATTCATAAGCGAAATGTTTTGATAATGTTGCATTACGAATGACAAATGCCTCCCTATGTAGATGTACTTTTAGCGAATTTCCCATATAGGGAATAAATTATTACCGTAGTACTCATGGTAAGACCTGGAACAGGGACCGATTTACTTTTTCGTTTTGAGGTCCCTATAGGCCAAAAAAAAACCATCCTTTAAAATTAATACTTTAAGTAATTTAGTTTCTTTTATTTTTTTATTTTTTTTAGTGTGCGTCATATATGTCCGTTAGCATGATAACTCGAGCAAAAATGAAATTTGGTATAAACGTGTAAGCCTACATGTATTTGAGCGAGTTCGCGAACCAGCATGATCGGACTATGGGGACGGGTGTTTAGGGGGGGGGGGGTGTTTTGGGGTAAACATTACGTTTTCCATTTTTGGTCAAAAAAATTGGCAATTTCTTTCCAAACCATTTTGTAGAGCTAAAAAAAACAAATAATTTAATTTAAAGTTCCCATGTTATTCTTATGGAGAATAAGGTTACTGTTGTAGTTTGCTCGTTTATGAACATAGTTGTATCAAATTTGGAAAACGCATTTATTACATTAAAAAAAAAATTTATTCTCCCTGTTGTAGCAAACATAAGTACTCGTTAAACCAATTCTATGTAAATAGGGAATACATGTGATATTTTCAAGGAGTCATTTTAGTGTAAATCCAATCAGGTTAATGGAAATTTGCCTAGTCTGCAGGTTTGCTGCTGGGGTATTTTATTGCTGCAATAGTAGCTCAAGGTTGGCTTTTAGCAGACTCTCCAAGTCATTTAAGTCCACAGGTGCTGTATTTTCCTTGTTGGCGGAATTACTGTTTAATCACATAGTTGAAGTCAACAGCTTGGACATTCTTTCGACTGAGGTTCATGAAATCTAGACGATCTTAGGAAGGATATCTATCTCCTCCACTTGACCCTACCTTTAAATAAATTAGCTCAACTGCTGAAGTCTGCCAAAACATCAATTAGCTGTGACATATACAGCAAAAGATAGTGCACGAACTTCTCCTCAAACTACCTAAATTTTGTAAACGGACGTTAAATACTCACTCATGAATATGTTGAGATGTGGTTAGAACTCAACCAGTACTTTCATAACTGAGGCAGATTCGCACTTCTGCTCAAACTTTATATTTCTTTAAACAACTTCTGACACTTAGAAACTAAATAAACTTGGAATGTTTGTTATTCATTTAGTTACTAATCATACCTCGTTAAAATTGCACACACATCACATAACATTTCTATGTTTGTATGGTCGGTTTGCGTTATGTGCGTACTCAAATAATCGTTTACAGTATATTTATTAGAGATACATTAAACACACTTCAAACTTATTTTCGATTTATAGTAAAGCGGTCACCCAATTAAACAGCAAATGTTATGTTAATCGAAGGGAAAGTTGAAAAAATATGCTGTAAATTGAATTTTTAGGTTAGTTTTCTATTTTCCTTGCAGTTCGAGGCGCAAATATGATAGAATGGGTGCTAAAAACTACGAATATAGCACCCAAAAACATGCTCACATTGTTTTAGGCTACAATCATACATGCTACGATATTAGAAATAAATTTATAAATATAACTTTATTTTTGCATTACTTTTTTTGTAGTTGTCACTAAACCTAAGGAACTCCAAGATTGAACCTGTCATTGTTTACAAGCTATTTTGGAGAATCGATTTGGTGTGAGGTCTTTAAAGTAATTTGAAATTGATTAGTTTCATCTTATGATGTTAAGTCAGCAAGTTTTAAAACTAATTCGTAAGGTCACTACGATTTGTCAAAGATATACTTCAATTCAGATATTACCATAAGGCCCATTCAACGCTTTGACCCGAAATGTCAATGCTTAAATGTCTCGCTCCAAAGCGTGGCTATGCCAATGTTTCATTCGAAAGCATTGCCGTAGCGTAGGGCGTAGGTCGGTACGAAGCACCAAGTCTTGTTGCGGTATCTAGGATTGCAATATTGTTAAAGAATATCACCTCTGACAATGTGCTTTTGACAATTGTACCTCAACACTGCCTCCCTATATGCCTACCTCGCACTACTGTCCTGCTGCTGCCTAGATCAGTCGTAGTCACGGTGGCGACATGGTTACGTCTAGTGTTATGTGAGGATCGAAAGCGAATTGCCAAAGTATGGAGAAACGCGTGAGGGAGTGAGTAGTGAGTAGAAAGTGTGGTAGGGTCAACTGGTCAACTGGTCAGTGTGTTAGCTGCAGGTGGTAGAATGCATAGTAGATTAGGAGTTCCACTTTGTCACAATATCTTTTGATCCTGTTAATCCCATATAAAGCGTTCTTTTGAACCACCGCTTTGAGGGAATTCAAAACCCCGCGAATTATTTTGGCCTTCTATACCAATGTATCGCACCAAAACTATTTACATACCAATATTAATATCTCGTTTAAAAACGTCTCTATATACCAATCGAATTTGGCAGTACTTATAATCAGAATAATTCTTAGACTAGAAGATGAGCATCGATTCAATTTGTTTGACAAAAGTTCGTAAAGTCTCTACAAGATAGGAACTCGTCGATAGTTTTCCAGTTACATTGTAACATCTATTTTTAGCCAAGTTCTATCCACCTCACTGTAAGAATCTATTTGAATTAAATGATAATATTATAGTTTTCATGAGTCCAAGGAATTCCTGCCTCCTGGAGAGGAATTTCTTCTCCATTCTTCATTTTGTACCTTAAAACGTGTTCCCTTCAAAAATATCTTATCAGGTCATTTCAAAAGGTATAAGACGTTGTATATTTTTCTGGAAAAGTGACTTGTTTGACATTATGAAACGTAATAGACGACCAAATACTGAAATCATTATTGAAACTATTATACAAAAGTATACTCAAATGGCAGGCGTGTTCCTAAATGGAATTTTGTTATTCTCATACGACACTGAACATTGTCTGATGTCTGATGTTTTCCAGATGGCGGAAGAGAGATCCTCAAGAGTGTCAGCGGAAGATTCAAAGCAGGAGAACTCTCGGCGATCCTCGGACCTTCTGGCGCCGGCAAGAGCAGTCTGCTGAACGCCATCTCAGGTCTCAGGTATGTAAATATAACAAAATAATCCAATTACTTGTACCAATGTACAAACCTGCGTGTCCAGTAGTTTACCATCAAACTTCAAAGTGGGGTGAATGGAGATGATCTGTGTAGCCGTGTTCCCATGTTACTGACTGAGATCGGCTGTTCATTGGACAGGAGTATTATCAAAAGATCAATGATCAAGGTCTACTGGGTCCAGTTTCTAAGCATCAATAAGCTTCAGTTGTATTAGAATATTTTGGAAACAGACATTGATTGAAAAACACAAAAATTACTATTACTATTACTACTTAGTCCGTAAAAACTATCTCAAAAGTACCTACGGAAAGGAAATGCTATTTAATCAGCAAATGATAGTTAAATTCACAAGGTCGTTAGTGAAATGTTTATGAGTCAGCAAGAACCTTTATCAAGACTTATTTACTCTTACATTTTACTTTTTCGTATTGTAAAAAGAAATAGTTATTTGTGTAACTAGTGGTGAAAGTGGCACTTTGCTGCACACGAGAGCAATGTTTACGCACGAGCCGCAGGCGAGTGCGGAATGATCTCGAGTGCAGCAAAGGCCTTTTTCACTCGTGTTACACATTATATTTTTCCTACAGTCACTATAAAGCATATAAATAATTAGTCTTTCAAACACTATACAACACGTTTTTAGGTTCATCTGGCAACACAAATGGTCCTAGAGAAAGTAGTAGGCCTACCCGCGGTCCGTATCACTTCGCTATTTTTCCTCGGCAAGAAATGTGCTCCGCATTTTGAGAATATAGTTCCGTATGTTTTTGTAACTTGAAGTGGTTTCCGCGCCTAAAAAAAATGCTTTAAAGGTATTTTCTTGTTTATTAAGATCGTATGAATGTTTTAAAAACGTTTAAAAGAAAAGTCCAGAAAGTTCAGAAATACCAAAACTATAAACACGAAATGACAGGTTAAATCATAGTTATAATAGTCAATCAGCTGCTCATAGTATTATTATCTTTAAGTGTTGCCAACCTATTTCCAAGCGTACACGGATTACGTGCATAATAGAACCACGCTGTTTTGTGTTGTTTCGTTGGAATCCTGATGTGCGGCAAAGTATAAACCGTACGACAAAGTATAAACCGTACGGCAAAGTATAAATATGCAGCAATTAGCAGCTTTCTGTACTATAAACAGTACAAGGAAGCTAACTTTGTCGGGTGACTGTAGGAAAAAAACATTACCTATAGTATTTTATTCCTCCATATTGTCTTAAACTCAAGCACTTTAACCAGTGTAGAGTGTACTACAGTAGAAAATGTCTACAGTACTTAAATTGTTGTGATCAACTGATTACCTAAATCTGGATTCACCGTAAACTACCAATTTTTGAAATGGTCATTTTGAATACGAAACCGTTACCGAACACGTGTTCGGGTTCGGGTAAGGTTAACTAAAAGTGTGTATTGATTCGATTTGGATATCGGTTATGGATTATCTGTGCATCAAATCCGGACTTAATAATCAGCTTGCTGTTGACCATTTGATTGTGTAATATTACGATACCTGTATTACAGGCAGGGGCTCCTTTCTCCTTATTGCTGCCATACTAATTCCAGGAACAAAGAAGAAATTATGACTGTTTTACAGCTACATGGGCGTACAATCTAAGCATAGATTAACTGGTGGGCAAGTAATGGTAATGTTTAAGAACAGATGGAGAAATCTGCCTTGAGGCTTTAGATTGTGTTCCGAATTCAAGATATTGTATTATTGTTTTCAGTAAAATGTGTACCTATTATACTTAATATTTTATGTAATTATAGTAAAATAATATTAACTTGATTTCGATTTTAATTTTTAAAACTTTTACGGAGGGCTTAGATAAATTGTTTCTTGGTCAACCAAAGTTTCACCATTAGGAGTAGAATCAAACTAATATTGTTGGTTCGAAATTTTATTGATTCAAAATTGGTCCTTTCCCTTAAAAAATTCAAGTTAAAATAGATAAAGAGGTACGGAGCCCATTATGTTTATGACTAGATTCGCATTCTTGCCTTCACCTCTTCATCTAAATTACCCCAGTACACTTAATTATGTTGTTTCCACATGTTATTTAAAACATCTTTGACATGTTAAAAAGTAGATAAAATCGTTCAATACTGTTCCAATAACATACATAAATACGACTTCTAAACTTTGAAATCCTATCATAAACAAATATATCAAATCCCTTACATACAGTCTCCATATTGTTGTAGTTGTAGTTGGTTTAAAGATGAAGCGCGTTGGAAACCACAATGGACCGAGCGATTACATTACTTTGTTGAAAACCACAAAGCATCATTACCTCATAGACTGTCTCTTAGCAGGGTCTGTCCTATAATTACAATCCTTCATATTTGCAAATTTAAGTCACAAAAGTACCTTCACAAGCTTGATTGTCTACTCCACGTGTCTGCATAATTTGTTGCTTGATGTTATGTACTAAGTAGGCAAATCCATTCTTTAGGTGACCAGCAGTTTACCAATGTCCCTTAAATATTTACAAGCGCCGAAAGTGATTAACAACTTTCTTCGATTAACATTTCGTGATGTGAAATTTTCCTGAAACGATTTTAATATATCTGTATAATATGTTCAATTACACTCATTACAAATCCAACAAAGAGTTTAAAGTGATTGAAAAAGCTCGCCCAACATCACATCAGTTTATAATCAAAATTAGGACGTCGGAGGATATTATTTGAGAATATAGGCCCTAATACGTGTATGAATTTGTACTGGTTATTCAAACGTGTCTCAAATTTCGCCACGAAGTTTATTTTGTTTTTGAAGCTATGTATGATTTTTTAATCCTGCCCTAAACTTCAATTTATTATATTGATAACGCGATGAAAAACATCGTGGTTTTCAATAGTCTATTGGATACTTCAGGATCATACTGAGTTTAGCTCTGTTTCGTTGGTATAACTATTAAAGCTATATATTTGCCTATTCAAATCATGTTCTTTCTTTTATCAGGCTAGCCTTGAATAATCTCGAGTTATTTCAGATTTAAGATTACTCAACTATCAAAATCTAGATCAGTTGCTACAATGCTGATTGAGACATTTCTTGCAAATTTCTTTGATCCAAATTTATGATGATCTGGTTAACTATTCATAGTTTAGTCTATCACTTAACTACCTTTTGACCGCAGTTATTGTCTAATTATAATTGGTCATGCTTTATTCGGGTTTTATTCTCTCCAAACTTGAATTCAGATTGAGCATTGTTGTTAGCCATTGATTAGCCAAGAAGCTCGTCGTACTTTCATCACAAGTTTCACAAGTTCGCACCTGGCATGACGGAAGCAGCTGCCAAATCACGTCTTCATCGTGACGTCTGATCATGTTTTGGCCTCAATCATGAAACAGAGTAACCGAGTAACGAAACCGCGGTTTCATACCTGCTTGACGTTTCAGCTGCAGTCATTGTTGCAGATCTGCTGATTCATTCTCCTCCATCACTGGAGCCATGATAAACAAATATTTCAAGAAAACAATTGTAAATGTTAAGAGCGTTTGGTTGATTTAATTACTTGTATTTGTTAAGTTTTGGACTTGGAATGTTATTGGTGTGCGGAATTTGAGCCGAAAAGAACAAGTACAATGTAATTAGGAAATGTATTGGTACACAAGTAATTTGTTCCCAAAGCCTCAATTTCAAAATGCTTTTCAGAGAAGTGTCTTTTGGTCATATCCTGTTGAGAACGAATTTTGGGGCAGTTTCTTGTGTTTACCAACATTTTTAAGGTTTGATAAGGGGTACAATATCAGAAAGTATTTTAAACTTTTGTTAAACAGCTGTAAATAAAAATCTGAAAAACTGTTTTATGTGTGAGTACTTCTAAAGACAAAATATGGCCAAAAGTATGTTTTGGAGAGGTGGTTAATTTTTCTAAGAAAATGTATTTTGGGCCAAGCGCTGATCTCAACCATATACTAGAATTTCCATCCTCTCACAGGTTAGCTGAAAAGTATTTCAGGTATATTCATTTTCAGTAAAGTTCAAGTGATTTAGATGTTAAAAATTGATAATTTTCGTTATTTGACAACTTAAGTACATTTGTGCTAACAAATGATAACACTGTACAACACATATTGCAAAATTTCCTCTCAAACAAAAGGAAACCACTAAAATCACCTTTTAGGTTTATCGCACACACATCAAAACAACTCTATAACGGATAAGAAGTCTACTTGCAGCATCCATAGTCAATGTCTCAGCATCTACTCTCCTATTGTCGGGTCTGACTTAGGGGAGGTACGAATGAGGCATTTAGTTCAAAATTCCTCCGTGAACAGCGCTGTAGTAGAGATAACTTTGGCAATGAAGGTTTACTAATCGCAAAAATAGTTCTGTTAATCAAATAAAATTATAAATGTCTCAAATTCAATTTTATTATTTTTTAATTATAAAATTAAACTATCATAACCTAACCGAACTAACCAAACTTGCTGATAAAGAAATAATATAACAAAAGTTTAGTAATCGGAAAAATAATTCTGTTTATTAAATAAAACTAGAATTTGCTCAATTAAAATTTTATAATGACTTAATAATAAAATTAAACTGTAATAACCGAACCAAACCAACCAAACTTGCTGATAATTTAAAAAAATCTTGGACAAAAAGTTAATGTTACCAGCGGGATTCGAACCCGGGACCTACAGTATATCAGCCCGGCACGCTAACCAATAGACCACCGAGGCCTATGGCTACCGATCGTTTTGTTACGGTAATGGCGTTCCCTCAGCTAATAAGAAGCCCACAGCTGTCATCGTAGCCTCTTCTATACCTCCCCTGAGTAAATACCCCTATTGTCCACGACCAACGGTCGTGTATGCTAAACTAAATTGTATCTCAAGTGGGGCGAAAGTCCGGAAATGTCCCAGCTGTTCCTTCTCTTGCAGACCAAAGTGCAATCCCGGGATGACAAATAGTAGAACTAGACTAGGCAATAAGGCGAATGGATCGAGTATCTCGAAAGG